ATATTTAATTAATATATAATGTATGAACATACTCTTTTATAAGATTAATGCGAAAATTAAATAAAATTATTTACCTAATTGCCAAAAGATGTTATCTCGATCATTGTTCGAACGTTACTAACATAAATAAGTAATTTCGTAAATATTTAATGTCTCTTCTTTTTCCATAGGTGACTTTATTTTTAACAATAAGAAAATATTCCTATATAGGTCATACCCGTTTGTATATTTTTAATAAAAATGTTAATCATTCGATATTATTCGTATTATTTTAATACATTTTTTTCCCCGTGAATTGAATTTTCGAAATAATTTCGTTGGAAAAGTAGAATTATAATATTTCAAGTATTTATGTGTGTATGTGTATAAATATTAAATATAAATTAATACAAATAAAATAAACATATATATATAATTATATATAAATCATTAAAACGTTTCTATAGAATTTAGAGAATGGAATTTTGATATTTTAATTACATACGTGTATTCGTGTATTAACCGAATTATATATTTTAACGGTAACATATACATTAAATTACTGTAGTAAAGAATCAATGATGGTGTCCTTTGATGACAGGACCCTTAAGATGACAGTTTTCCTTTTGATAAACGAACATCTCTTTTTAATTTATATTTTTGCATCTTTTTAATTTATATTTTTGCATCTTTTTCTTTTTTTTTTTATCTTTGTTAACTATTCCCCCATTTTGCTTTCTCGTCTTCTCCTCTTTTTATTTTATTCATTTATTTATTTATTTATTTATATATATATATATATATTTTTTTTTTGTTCTTTTTATTTTTTTTGTTTTTCTTCTTTTCTTTCGTTAGTCTTCTTCGTAATGTACAGATTTGAAAAGAGAAAAGAACATTTATAACGATCGTCTAATACGTATGCATCATGTATGCATCATGTATGCATGTATATGTTATGTATACGTATGAATATACATTCGAAATTGTAGTATGAATTGGTTTAATGAATTGTTTCCTCGTCCCCGTGATCATTATATCCGTAGTGACAAGGAATAAAGGAAGAAAAGCTTAAATAGAAATAACGACTCAGCAAGAATTCGTTTCAATTCCGGTACGCAGTTATGGCAATTCGAAGAAAAACTTTCCCATGGGTACCGAGCGAATAATTTTGACAAATCTATTGAAAAATTAAATATATAATATAATAAAATATTAAATATATAATATAAATAAAATTAAGATACAGTACT